TATCGATCCAATAATATCCTACTCTGATTATTTTTCGGACTAATGAATCGGTACCGGAATGATTTCCACAAGTACCCTCGTGAATCTCGCGTAGGACATAGTCGGTGTCTCCTGGTCCTAAGCATACTGCAAATGGTCCATCGAATGTCCTTCGGTATAATGTTCCATCTACAGTCAATGTGAATCGAGCAGCTTTGGTTTGTAGGGCCCTCGAATATTTATGGCCCGATGGGAGCTTTCCGTTCTCCAAGTATTCAATATACTTATTCCGCCAATCCCAGGTTAAGCTCGTAGAGTTTATCTCGGCATGACCTTCCTCGATCACGGATCTCGAGAGTTGAACGACAGTCCCCGAGCTGATCTCATCTTCCTCGACCGATGACCCCAAATTTGCAAGTGCATCGGCCTCACTATTTTGTTCTCGAGGTACGTGCTGTAAGGTCCATTCTTTGAAACGGTGCAAAGTTACATGTAGCTTGTCGAAATACCTTTGCATTCTATCCTCTCGAACTTCGAAGGTTTTGTTTACTTGATTTACCACCAGCAAAGAGTCACACTTGGCTTCAATGACTTCTGTTCCTAAGCTTTTAGCTAGCTCGAGACCTGCAAGCATGGCCTCATACTCGGCCTCGTTGTTAGTCAACCTAGTAGTTTTGATAGATTGCCTAATAGTGCTACCTGTAGGCGGCTTTAAAACGATGCCTAGCCCGGACCCCTTTGCGTTCGAAGCCCCGTCCGTGAAAAGGGTCCATACCCCCGATGATGTACCCGATTTCAATACGAGTTCTTTTTCAACTTCGGGTATGAGGGTTGGCGTGAAATCGGCTACGAAGTCTGCTAAAATTTGAGACTTGATGGTCGTCCGGGGTTGATATTCGATACCGTACCCACTGAGTTCGACGGCTTATTTGGCCAATCGACCTGATAGTTCGGGCTTGTGTAAAATATTACGAAGTGGGTAAGTGGTTAATACGCATATGGGGTGACATTGAAAGTACGGTCTTAACTTTCTAGAGGCGCTTGTTAGTGCTAATGCCAATTTCTCTAAGTGTGGATATCTAGTTTCTGCTTCCCCTAAGGTTCGACTTACATAAAAAACGGGAAATTGCGGTACCTTGCTCTTCTCGAACTAGGACACCACTTACCGCTATTTCCGATACCGCCAAGTATAAGTAAAGTTTCTCATCTGCCTTCGGAGTGTGAAGCAGCGGTGGGCTCGATAGGTATTGCTTCAATTCCTCTAATGCCTGTTGGCATTCCGGGATCCAGGCGAAATCGTTCTTCTTTTTGAGTAGAGAGAAAAATCTATGACTTCGATCCGACGACCTTGAAATGAATCGACCTAAGGTAGAAATCCGTCATGTTAGCCTTTGTACGCCTTTTACACCGTCCACAATGGTGATGTCTTCGATGGCCTTGATTTATCGGGGTTGATATCGATCCCCCGATTCGATACCATGAAGCCAAGGAACTTTCCCGAACCGACCCCGAAAGCACATTTCTCGGGGTTGAGCTTCATATAGTATTTTCTTAAGATCTCGAATGTTTCCTGCAAATGAGCCAAATGGTCCTCTGCGCACAGGGACTTAACTAGCATGTCATCAATATAAACTTCCATTGATTTACCTATTTGTTCCTCGAACATTTTATTTACTAGGCGTTGGTAAGTAGCTCCTGCATTTTTTAGCCCGAAGGGCATCACATTATAACAATATGTTCCATATTTGGTGACAAATGAAGTTTTTTCCCGGTCTTCCGGGTTCATTTGGATTTGATTATACCTGGAATAGGCATCGAGGAAAGTAAGGATCTCATGGCCGGCCGTGGTGGGCAGCGGAAAAGAATCTTTGGGGCACGCCTTGTTTAAATCCTTATAATCTATACACATTCTAAGTTTGTTCCCTTTTTTAGGGACTACAACTACATTGGCTAACCATTCGGGGTATTTCACCTACCGAATGGACCCTATTTTGAGAAGTTTAGTTACCTCGTCGTTTATGAATGCGTGCTTTACCTCGGACTGGGGTCTTCTCTTTTGCTTCACCGATTTGAACCTAGGGTCCAGGCTTAGCCGATGCGTCGTTATATCTGGTGGGATCCCTGTTATATCTAAATGAGGCCAAGCAAAACAATCTATGTTATTGATAAGAAATTGAATAAGCCTTTTCCTGAGTTCGGAGGTTAATCCCGTTCCCAGGTATACCTTTCGTTCGGGCAAATGCTCGATTAGTATGACTTGCTCCAGTTCTTCAATCGTTGATTGGGTAGCGTCGGAATCATCGGGGACCACAAAGGATCGAGGGATCCTTTGATCATCTTCGCCAATCTTCTGATTTTCTAGTTGGGTTGAAGCTGACGTCTGTGATTGCTATTTGGCATCTCGTTCCCCTTTTGAGTTTGATCCCTTTGTTGACGAAGGTGAGGATATCAGAATTGCTTCTTGGACGGCAAACATTTCTTTTGCGGTCGGTTGCTCTCTGTACACTATTTTGACTCCCTCCGATGTTGGGAATTTAAGAACCTGGTGGAGGGTCGAAGGTACAGCTCTCATATTGTGGATCCATGGCCTTCCAAAAAGGGAGTTGTACCTCATATCGCCATCGATTACGTGGAACTTCATTTCCTGGATGGTCCCGGTCATGTTTATCGGTAGAATTATCTCGCCTTTGGTGGTTTCACATGCCATGTTGAATCCGTTTAGAACCATGGTTACGGGTATGACCTGGTCCTGTAGACCGAGCTGTTCTACAACCTTCGATCTAATAATATTGGCCGAGCTACCTGGATCAATTAACACACGCTTAACTTTAGTTTTATTCATAAGTACGGATATTACTAGTACATTGTTGTGAGGTTGCATGATTCCTTCTGCATCTTCATCATTAAAGGACAAGATTCCTATGGGTGCGTGATCCTGAGTTCGAGGTTGCTTTTCTCGTATAACCGATGTCTTAGTGCGTTTAAGCACTGGCCCTTGAGGGGTATCGACGCCACCGATGATCATATGGATGATGTGCTGCGGTTCTTCCTGTTCGTTTTGTTTACCGAAATCCCTATTTTTGAAATGGTTTTTGGCCCTGTCGCTTAAAAATTCTTGAAGGTGCCCTTTATTGAATTAACGGGCTACCTCCTCTCTTAGTTGTCTGCAATCTTCCGTTCTGTGGCCATGGGTGCCATGATATTCGCACATTTGATTGGGATTCCTCTGGGCAGGATCGGTCTGCATGGGTCGAGGCCATTTAGTGTCTTTGATGCGTCCGATAGCCGACACGATGGCGGATGCATCAATGCTGAAGTTATACTCTGATAACCGTGGTGCTTCCTTAGGTCCGGTAGGCCTGTCGAACCCATTTCTGTTCATCAGCCCCCGAGACCCTTGACCTCGATCACTTCTTTTATTGCCTTGTCTGGGGTTACGTCTCGATTTATTAATCCTGTGGTTTCCACTATATGGTCGGTATCGGTCCCTGATCGGACCTTGTTCTCGATTGATGTCCCTTCTAGCAGTGGGTTCAGAACCCAACTGATCGTCTTCGACTCTAATTTTTGATTGGTACCGATTATGCATGTCGGCGCAAGTAATAGCTGGGTACTCGATCAGGTTATGCTTTAACCACCGTGAAGCTGTCGAACTTCATTCATTCAAACCTTGAGTGAAAGCCTGAACAGCCCAATCGTCTGTGACTAGTGGCAGATACATTCGTTCCATTTGAAAACGAGATACGAACTCCCTTAGCATCTCGTTATCCTTTTGTCTTATCTTGAATAGGTCTGACTTCCTGGTCTCGACCTTTATGGCCCCGGCGTGTGCTTTTATGAAGGAATCTGCAAGCATAGCAAATGAATCGATAGAATTAGATGGTAAATTATGATACCATATCATTGCTCCCTTTGACAGGGTTTCACCGAATTTCTTCAATACTACGGATTTGATTTCATCGTCCTCTAGGCCGTTCCCTTTAATGGCACATGTGTAAGAGGTGACATGTTCATTGGGGTCGGTAGTTCTGTTATATTTAGGAATCTCGGGCATGCGGAATTTCTTTGGGATCGGTTTAGAAGCCGCGATTGGGGGGAAAGGCTTTTGTACGAATTTTTTGGAATCTAAGCTCTTCAATATCGGTGGTGCCCCCGGGATCTGATCAACCCTGGATTTATATATTTCCATTTTTTTGTCGTTCGCCTCAATCCTCCTTTCTCCTGATTCTATTCGTTTGGTGAGTTCTTCGAACATCTTAGCAATTTCGGGATTAGTCCCCGACTCTTGCTCATTTGACCTTACTATAGCTGGTTCCGTTCTGTGGGTGATTTTTCGGGGTAGACTGGGCTCCGTCCTGCTCAGTATCTGGGTTTGACTCTGCAACTGAGTTATTGCTTCATGTTGAGCTTGCAACATTTCGAAAAGCATACGCAAGATGACGCTGTTTTCCTCGACGTTATGGGTATCTCGAGCTGCAGATCGAGTGCCACCATGAATGCTATTTTCAGGTTCAGAATGTAGGTTTGCCTCAATGGCCACATGCAAATTAACGTCTAATAGCACTTCGACTCGAGCTCCAACGGCGTCCACAAGCGACATTCCGGCCCTGGGTGTCTTGTTGTTCTCACCTTGAAGGCCAGCTTCGTTATCGATAGGTAAGGCCATTTAATTTGAGAGCCCGTCGTTGCTAATCCGAAATCAAAGGCACTTCCGAAAATAAGCGTAAAATGGTGTGTTTTTGCAGATTCGTATCAAATAATCACTATTATCCTTAGCCCCACGATGGACGCCAAACTGTTTACGCGAAAAACGGATAGAGTTGAATTTGTACGTAGTTCTAAGGGTATGTAGTATAACTTGACACAAATCGTAAAAATAAATAAAAATATCGAGTATTGACCGTAGAGAATGAAAAATAAGCAAAGTCGGAAAGAAGATGATTTATGGATTAAGCAAGATGAATCAATCTATGAAGCTAAAAGGGATAACTCTTCAATATAGGAGTGTATGATATCTCAATTACAATGTATGCCAAAACTTGGTCTTTTACAGGAATATCGTCATCCCTTTTATAGTGGGGGAACCCTACTTTAAATATAATTAAAAATACATAGTGGGGAACCATGATAAATCAATTTTTTTCTAATTTCCGCCGAGATTCTCTCCCTTAGTGCGGCTGCAACGGCTCTTGTCTATGAGCTCGATCTTGATCGGACTCAGTATTGGTCGGTTTCCAGTTTTAGAACTCGATGCGGGTTTGAGCTCGATGCGGGTTTGAGCTTGATGCTGACTCGGGGTCCGGTAATGACTTGGGCTCGGTATTGGTTGACCTCTGGCCCTTAAGCGCGATTCCATCATATCTCATCATAGTTCGATTCGGACTCGAGCTCGATAATAACTTCGACCACAGTATTTGACCTATTCCTGAAACTCGAAGCCCGTTTGTGCCTTTTTTGGATCCCATCTCGATATTACGAAGACTTTCTTCGGTCCATTATGTTTTCATCTCGATCAGACGTACGAAGACTGAAATCAGTTTTGACCGTATACACAAAAATTTCTTAAAAATTGAGAAGACTGCTGACTTTTCCTTAACAAAATATACCCATGTCATTCTACTATAATCATCAACAAAGGCTAAGAAATACCTGTTCTTATTGAGAGACAGAGTGCTCATTGGCCCACAAACATCGGCATGAATCCGTTCTGCTGGTTTTGGAGCTCTTCTTGCCTTACCCTTTGGAAAAGGGTCACGATGTTGCTTTCCAACCATGCAATTTTCACACACATTATCAACATTTTTTATTAATGGCAAGCCATCAACTAGATTCTGCTCATGCATGAGTTTCAAGGTTTTAACATTTAAATGCCCATATCTATGATGCCACAACCATTCGTCATCAAGTGAAGCAGCCCTCAAATTAAAGCTTGTTTATCATTTGAAGTGAGATAATAAGGAAAAATCTTATTTTTGGCCATAGGAATACTGGCCAACAGATGTTCTTTAGATTTATCCTTGAAAATACAACAAGCAAAATCTTCAAAAACAAGTGAATACCCCTCCAACATAAATTGCCCCACACTTCACAGATTTGAGTCCAAATCTGGCACATACAAAACATTGTGAATGCAATTTAACTCAAGAGAGTTCAGTTGTACAGTACCTTTTCCTTGAGCTACCCGAACAGTCCCATCACCCATTGCGACTCGGCTTGAGACTGACTTATCCAAATTGATGAAAGAGCTCAAGTTGCTTGTCATATGATTGCTACAACCGCTGTCAACATACCAAGCTTCTGTAGAACATTCTTTTGCAGAAAAACAAGCAAGGAATAGGCTTTCTGTCTCGTCCTCCTCTTTCTCCTTGGCTAGATTAGCCTGCTTCTCTTTCATCCTACAAAAATAGAACCTCTTAATGTGCCCGCACCTCTTGCAAAAAATAACACTGCTTTGGACTTCCATTTTTAATTTTGTCATAGCTTCCATGGCACTGGTTGTTATCAGAAGAATGACAACCGCTTGGACCTCCTCTTCTCCCATGGGATGACGGTCCACCATGCCCTCTGTTGAAATTTCCATGATTGTTTGATTCACCAGTACTTTTTTCACCATGATAAGTCCGCGTTTTGCTGTAAAAAGCATTCTCAACAGGAGTATCATCATATCTTTTCATTCTATCTTCATGAGAATAAAGAGAACCTAATAACTCATCATCAGTTAACTCATTCAAGTATTTTGACTCTTCAATTGCAGCCACAACATGATCATATTTCTTAGGCAAACTCCTAAGGATTTTCTCAACCACTTTCTTTTCACTCAAATTTTCACCAAGTTTTCTAATTTGATTGACAACATCAATTAAATTAGAAACATAATCAGCTGTTACTCCTTCTTCAACACAGCCATTCTCCACCAAATCCCATAATTCTTGGGATATGAACAAAGTCTTCATCTTCATGCTCCATATGTCATAGTTGCTTCCCCGAAAAATTGGAATAGGGTTGAGAAAGATTGACTCCAATGGGGTTATTAGCCATGGCTCTGATGCCACATGAAAACAACAAACAGAGGATGTTAGTCCTCAAGTTTAAACAGAAAAAGAACACAACTAAGACTTTCAACAAACAGTGTGTGGGCTACCAGAAGTTGAACTGAAAAGTTGTGTCTTTCTTCATTAAAATGCTGCCTTAAATAGAAAAGACTACAGTTACAAACTGACCCACTACCAACGAGATATCAGCAACTATTTAAAACAATAACTCCTAATAATATAGAACCACAACTTTCACTAACATACAATATCCGACTAATTCAAAGACAATTAAAATAAACTAAGTAAAAAGAGTAAATGGTAAAAATAAATTTCTGCACTAACTTTCTAACAGACATTATCCGGGTACAATCCTTCCTAAACTTTTCCTTGTGGCGTTTTTACTATGTATTTTATTTATCAGCCTTGCCGGCTTTGGATGTTATCGCGACTTGCCGCCGCTTTGTTGTTTGTGATCCGTCAATACCTTTAAGGCTCCCCTCTTTGGCTTATAATTGATTTTATGGGTGATTGCTTCACCCTTTTTGGGGCTGTTGTGGCTTGTCCCGATGGTTTTACACTGTTTGAGATCTTCCGCTTTAGTTAAGAGCGCACGAGTTTAAAAATAAAGGTCCTGCTATTCTATTTGGAATCCTTGTTCAAGGTTGTTACATTCTTTAACTTGAGTGCCTTTATAGAAATGTGGATTGAAGACTTAAATCTAGAATGCAATAAATAAGTAGCCATCATTCGCTTTGTCAGTTCTCTATATCTATGGCCTTTTATTTAAATTTAAGAAGTTTTGAATCAAGGCATATCATTTTTAGCTCGACATTTCTGATTTCATATTAGTTTAAAGTTCCATAGCATCCAAATTTACTTATCTATTTGAGTTGGTCATGTAAGTGAAACTACTATATGATATCCTATTTTACGTTGAGTTCAATAATTCGTTTACCTTTTTTTGTTGTTCAAGACGCCTCAGTTCGCTGCTGCAAAAAGGTCAGTAACTTCAAAATATTTTTGTAACGATCCGATCAGTTGTTTTGTGTAATTGCACCCTATCTCCCTTTTTCATGCTTCACACATATGTGTTTATGATTTTATAACTTGCGGGGTTGGTTAGTTTCGTTCCGGGAAGCTTTCCGGTTGATTTGGACCATTGATTCTTGATTTAGAAGTTTAAATTAGAAAATATTGACCAAACTTTGATTTTTGTGAAAATAACCCCGGAACTGTGTTTTTATGGCTAATAGCTTCATATCGTGATTTTGGACTTAGGTGTATGCCTGAAATTGATTTTGGAAGTCCATAGGTCGATTTGTGTTGATTTATCGAAATTTGGCAATTAGAAGTTAAAAAGTTTGATCGTAAGTTGCTTTTTAGCTATTGAGTTTGAAATTTTAATTTTGGAACTTGGAATAGGTCCGTTATAGTATTTAGAACTTGTCTGCAAAATTTGGTGTCTTTTGGAGTTGATTTGATAGGATTCAGATGCTTAGTTATGATTCTAGAAGTTCTTGAAAATTTCCTTGAATTTCATGCGTTATAGAGTTCAATTCGTAGTTTTAGATATTATTTTTGCGTTTTGATCGCGCGAGCGAGTTCGTATGATATTTTTAGACTTGTGTGGATGTTTTATTTGGAGCCCCGAGGGCTCGGATGAGTTTCAAACATGTTTCGGAAGGTTGTTGGACTGAAAATGAAAGTTTGGTATCTGGTGCCCTCTGCTGTCATAATTGCGAACACCAGAGTCGCATTTGCGACCATAGCAGGGAACTTCAAGTATCGCAAATTCGATGCCTTGGCGCATTTGCGAAGAATTTCTAGGCTGGGCTAGGTTCGCATTTGCGATGGTTTTTGTAGCAATTGCAAGGAAAACAGGGTTCGCAATTTGCAAAGAGCTTCCTAGGCCTTCAGTGCCGCATTTGCGAGGTTTTCTTCGCAATTGCGATAACTCCAGCTGAACATAAGCGCTGAAAGTCGGGATTTATCTCTTATTCTCTTTTTTTTAACCCTAGACTCGATAGGAGGCGATTTGGAAAGGGGTTTTTACCTACAAACCTTGGGTAAGAGATTCTAATCATATTCCATCAACATATCTTAGATTTTAACATCAAAATCATGTAAATCAAAGTGAAAGTTTGTGAAATTTTGTCAAGTTTTTGAAGAATAAGAAATTGAGTTTTGAGAGTCGATTTGGACTCGGATTTTAAAACTAATCACATATATGAACTCGTGGGGTCATGGGTAGAGGGAATCTACTATTGGACCTGGATTTTGACCGGGCGAGTCCGGGTTGACTTTTGTTGACTTTTTAGGAAAAATATAAAGATCTTAACTTTATATATTGCAATTGAATTTCCTAGCATTGTTTGATGTTATTGAGTCGTTTTTGGTTAGATTTAAGCTGTGTGGAGGCAGATTTTAGGGGAAAAGCTATTTTCAAGTATTGAATTGGCCTAGCTGAGGTAAGTGTCTTGTCTAACTTCGTATGGGGAAACTACCCCTTAGGATTGGTACTGTTTGGTACCGTTGTGGTGTACTCATACTACGCTTCTGCACATTTTTTTTGCAGATCCAGGTACGTCTGCCCGTGCAGGTCGTTAGAGGTTGTTTGTAGTTGCTGCTTGGGCGACTTCAAGGTATACCTGCTCCATATCCGCGGGCCTCAGAGTCACCTTCTTTATTTATCTTCCTGTTATATTTCTTTCAGACAGTGATGTATTAGATATTCTAGAATTATTCTATAGAGTTTATGACTCAATTCCATCGATTTTGGGGAGCGTACTGTTGAGATTATATTTTGATTCAGAAGGTTATATCAGTATTTAGCTTGTTTTAGTATTTTGATAAATTGTTTCTGCCAAGTTATTATTATTTGTTAGGCTTACCTAGTCGTAGAGGTTAGGTGCCATCACGACATCCTACGGAGGAAAATTGGGGTCGTGAAAATTTCTTCTCGCTCTTTGTCTTTGAAGATCTAAAGTTTGTATGTTCTTTGAATGAGTTATAGTTTGTTGTGTCAAAATTTTGATTTAGAGCCAACTTGTATGTAGAAATTGTGAAGTTATAAGTATCCTGTTTTAAAAGATTTTAAATAGGCATAAGATTTCGACTAACTTTTTTTTTTTTGGGATGGTTTACACTCTGTCTATGAAAAGAATTCAGAAAGTATGTTTTGGTTTTGATTTTCTCTCTTGTCTTCAATTGTATTTTTCACATGTTAGCAGAATTTCGATGCTAATGTGACGTGATAAAAGAAATATGTTAAAGTTTTTCCTTTTGTAATCAGACTATCTTGTTAAAATTCCATGACTCTAAGTTCTTTAGAGAGTCTATTGAAAGTATGTTCTTTTCTTTAGTTCTCTGATTGTGAGGTCTCGAAGGCCATATGCTATCGTAGATACTTGAAACTATGACTTAATTTTGTTTTCAGCTTCATTAATAATACTTATAGGGCAGAGTTGTTTAATTAAACATAAACTTTCCATGTCTTGAAAGATTATATTTCAGTTAGTTTAATACGTGGTTGATGTTAATATATGGCAGTCCTTATGTTGTTTTCCATGCCTCAAGTATCTTGATTGCTGTCACGATCCCAATTTTCCACATTAGGATGTCGTGATGGCACCTAGTCTCTAATACTAGGTAAGCCTAACACATGCTGATTAAATGACAGAATTGAATTATTTAGTCATTAATCATAAATCATTAAATGGCATACATAGCCGCAAGCGGCCAATAGTTATACATTTCCAAAAGTAGTAGTACAGAGTCATAAGCACTACTGAAACACACTAGAATTTCTAAACACAATACTGCTTTGAATTACAATTTAACATTAGCATAATGAAGTAAGATGGTGACTCCGAGGCCTGCGAACGTCAAGCAGGTATACCTTGAAGTCTCCTGCCACGACGCAACTCTCAACAATACAATCAGAATACCTGGATCTGCACATAAATATACAGAAGCGTAGCATGAGTACACCACAACGGTACCAGTGAGTATTAAGCCTAACCTCGGTAGAGTAGTGACGAGGCCAGGTCAAGATACCTACTAGACATAGAAACATGTTCAAGATATATATAAGCTAATAATGGAAAGAACATCAATATAAGACCAACGGCGGAAAGATTATTGATTTACAACCAACAGTGAAGTAATAGAAATACAAATGGAAGCAAGTAATAAATGAGTAATAAAGAAACAACATAATAAAAACACCGATGAGATGTAAATGAACTCAAATAAGAAAAAATGGATGGCAACTCAAATAATCAAATCGCTCCCAACGCATGGGACTTACAACAAGAATTATCCCGATGCACCACACCTCATAAACCACAAGTCATGAACTACAATTTTTAAATCTTACATATATGGCACCTCGTGCCCCCAATAATAATCACATTCACATGGCAAAGCCCACATGCTACCAGGTACTTTGCAATCGTGACAAATATCAATTTAGATGAACGAAAGATATATTTAAACACCATAAAACATAATAACAATCTTGAATAAATAAGGTGTCAAATGAAATAATGAGTTTATTTTAGAAATCAAGTAAAGTAAAATAATATACAATTTATACGAAATAGAGTATCGGATGGGTTTAGTTTAGAAATCAATAAAATTGAGTAAAAGTATCATATTTAAACAAAGCAAAACACCAGTTAAGTTAACGAATTAAATATAGAATTTTTGTTAAAGAAAAACATGATAATAATTTTAAGTAAGGTAAACATCTAATAGGGTGATGAGTATAATTTGAGACTCAATTATAGTGAAAGTGCGATAACCATTTAGAATAATAAGGCACCGAGTGAAATAACGAGTTCTATCTTAAAAGGCACATAGAATAAAGCATGTTAATAATTCTTTTATTTAAATTATTATGTTACCAACAACTCAATAGAATATGATATAGTGACTCCACGCAATTAAATCACATTGACCATCAATTCACCAAGTTATAACGGAGGCACAGATTGGCATGTTAAAGCAACACAAAAAATCACTTAGAATGCAAGACTCACACAAGAAAACACAATCATTCCAAACCAAGATAACAACAAATAACCAAACACAATCAAAATGCGGACGAATGATTGAAGGAAGAATAATGACCGTTCAAATCAACAAGTTGTTCCAACATGGAATGTACAATGAAAATCACAATTGAGGTACCGCCTCGTTTTCACATCTCACAATTTTAATCACAATCTTTTCTTATATCACAACGTGAGCCTTACATTTTATTTTGACACGTGTTTTAGCTCACTTTATCTCAACACGTGGCTTCAAGTAGTTCCCCTACTAGCAACACGCGTATCAAGCCCACCTTATCTCGCCACATGCGTATCAACCCCTAGCCTTATACCATCGCATGCGTATCAATATCACAACACAATCACAACACGCACCACAGTATCCATATGCCACAATATAACAATCCGACCGGTCGTTTTGAGAACTTAAGGTCTCGTTCGGTGGTATAAGGTCTCGAGCAGTTTTGTAACGTGTATTATGACTTGCGTGTGTGGTTGATATTGATTTTCAGATGATTCGGGGTTAAATTGAAAGAAGAATTCCTATTTTTAAGTTAAATAAAAACAGTTGACCGGAGTTTGACCTTTGAGCAAATAACTCCTGAATAAAAATTTTATGGTTTCAATAGTTTCGTATGG